AAGCCGCACCCGGGGGCGAGAAAACAGCGGCTTACCCAGTGGGCATGGACGGCCATCGAGCAGAGCAAGAGCTGCAGGGGAGAAAGCAGCAGGCCTACGTGGAGGTGGGGGTTCTGCGACTGCTCGTGCACGGCAATACCAAGAAGCTCACGGCGGCAGCGGGCAGGCACTCGGTGGAAATAGTGGTAGGGAGGAGTGTCGACGAGATGGGAACGATGTTGGTGCTGCTGACAGAGCGTGGATCCCATGGGGAGCGTGGGGGGGACAGACTGGTGCAGGTACAGCTGCTGGGCAGTTCAGTGGTCCCACAGAGAGTAGCCCTGGGTTGGGATTGGGGCTGGGAATGGGAATGGGAATGGGTGGGCCCGGGGATGTGTTGGGTGGGTGGGAAATCCCCTTTGTGCAGCAGGTGTTGCAGGAATCCCAGCAGGCAGCAGCGGGTGTACCAGGTACAGTGCCTGGCGTCAGGGGAAATGAGGGTGCTGCTGGCAGAAGACAGAGTGGGGGGGGGGGTTCAAGGAATCATGCTGGTGAGGACAGAAGCGGAGGAGCTCACGCTCCGCAGCAGCAGCGGCCGTCGCAGCAGCACGCTGCAATGCCCATGGCTTCGGTCGCTATGGCAGCTGCAGTGGCTGCTGCCAGAGCTGCAGCCCGAGCGGGCGCAGGCATGCTGGGTGCTGCTGGTGCAGGTATCGGAGCTGGAATTGGGGCTCAGCTTGGAGCTGGTGCAGCATTAGGTGCAGCTGCCTTGAGCTCTGGTGGTGGAGGGGACGCAGCCACTGAAGCTGCTAGGCATGTGCAACTGGACGCAGCCGGGGCGGCCGGTGCGGCGGCAGCAGCAGTGGTCTCCATGCAGGCTCTAGCTTCAGCTCAAGCCACGGAATCACCATGTACGGTGATGCTTCGAATATGGCCCCATGATGTGCAGGCCCCGTGCGACTCCCTCTTGGCCCAGAAGTGCAAGCTTGTTATCCCTCATGCGGTTCTGTGCAGTGAAATGGGGGCCCACTTCTCTCCTTGCGGGCGATTCCTTGCCGCTTGTGTGGCTTGTGTGGCCATGGAGGTGCGGCCAAGTTCCAGCGGAACTGGAAATGGGACCGGCGTGGGGGCGCAGGGAAACTATGGGCAGCGCTCGCCAATGGAGCTTCCCTGTCCACCTGTGAGTGCGCGCAATTCGATGTACGAGTTGCGCGTGTATTCGCTGGAAAAGCACAGTTTTGGGCAGGTACTCGCATCTCGTGCGGTTCGTGCTGCTCACTGTCTGACATCCATTCAGATATCACCCACATCTTCTCATGTTCTGCTTGCTTATGGTCGGCGGCATCACACGTTGCTGAAGAGCTTTTCGGCAAGTGGCTCGGGGAAACAACTGATACCTGTGTACACAATCCTAGAGATTTATCGCATTTCAGATATGTCATTGGTTGGGGTGCTGCCAAGTGCCGAAGATGAGGTGAATGTCGCCTGCTTCCATTCACGAGTGGGCGGTGGCCTTGTCTACGGCACAAAGGAGGGAAGACTGCGCTTGATGGTGCACGATCGACAGCGGAGGTCATCAGACTCTCAGTCTGGATTTGAAGATGGCGTTATTCACACAAGGATGGTTGACGATCTTCACTTTGATGAAGGCTGGCTCTTTCATGATGGAGCATGAAGAAAGAGTTCATGTAGAGAAAGCAGCACAAAACTATCTTGATGAGTGAGAGCAGTCGGCAGCAATTGGTGCGAATGTCTCTCCTACTCAGAGTCGCCCAACCAAATGAATCAAGGGAATAAGGCCCCTTGTGCCTCGCACTGTGCCTTGTGGACTGCACACTGTGGACGAGCCCGTCTCGAGGTTCGAACGCATGCACATCGCACCTGCACATGCTTCATTCCTGCGCTTCACATCGATGCACACTGCGGATTACAATTATGATGTCATATCATGGAGGAGAGTCCTGGGAGCACCATCGAACCATGCCTCGTAGTTCCGAAATAACCAACCAGCCCTGGGACTAACCAACCAACCACATGTGGGACCCGCCAACGATTGCTGGGACCGACCAACCAACCAGATGTGGGACCTGCCAACGATTCCTGGGACCGACAACCAACCAGATGTGGGACCGGCCGTCGATTCCTGGGAACCTATGAAGAAGGTAGTCATAGAACAAGTCAACACACTCCTGGGACCTTGGGACCAGCCCTGGGACCAACCAACCAACCAGATGTGGGACCGGCCAACAATTCCTGGGACCAACAACAGGACAAGTCAACACACTCCTGGGACCTTTGGACCACCAACCGATCCGTTCTCTGCGGGAAGGACAAGACAGTTGATTACTCGGCTTCTACCATGATGATGTACAGTTCGCAAAATCAGTCTCAGGTCGGGATACCTACCATAGGTTGTTTGACTGAGCAGGCAGCAAGTTATGTGACAATGGGAGTTATGGTTTCTGGTCGCGGTTGTGTGGCACACGTGCATGCAAA